TTTTCATCATGAAGAGTTATTCCTCGTCGCTTTTTGTAAAATCTATTTGCAAGGTCTAGTTTGCTATCCTGTAGAGATTCTTGTCCAGAGTAGGAATTAATCCCGGGTTTCTCGTCAATTTCTGAAAGTAATAATTTTATTAGTAAGTCGATAATAATTGCTATGTATTTTTAAATCAAGTTGCAAAATTAATTTAGTTGTATATTTTAGGATACAATTTTTGTTGCTTTCTTAATTTTACTAAATGTTCTTCCACTTGTAATAATGTTAGTAATAGTCTGTCTTAATGACTATAAGAATATAGTATTATATGATAATAATAATTATTTGTTTAAATCTAAATTATTAAGTAAATAATTTTAAGTTTTACACAAATAATTTGCTTATTTTTTGATGATTGTTTTAATAAAAATATGGTTATGAATGTGCATATTTAATTTTCTGACTGTTATTTCAAAAATCATTTTTAGGTATTGGACATTCTGCTGTTCTAGAATATTATTAATTATTAAAATTTATACATATGTATATATATATATTTTTTTTTTCTATGATAAAATACATGCAGATATTATTTAACAAATTTTGATTTTTGTCGACTTAGACAATTTTTATCAAAATGATTAATATTCTTTTAATAATGTTATCGAGAATACATGAATTTAGTTAAAAATGTGTGGCTACAAAAAATTCGAGATAAATTGAATGGGTACTCTCATATTAGCGGGATATTAATAATTAAAATTTTTGAAAAATACGAAATAATAAAGAATTGTTAAATTTTATATAATATAAGTTTTTTAATATAAAAATATAATTCTTTAAAATCCTGTTATTATCGGGTTCGACTTATCTCGGACAGTTGATACCTGAAAAACTTTTGTATCCATACATATAAAAAATTACAATAACGCATATATTTTACTAAATATATTCTTTTATAACCATTATTTCATAAGGAAATCATTCTATCCATTTATTTTTAATAAGAGATGATTTTTAATGATGTGTGCAGAATATATTTTCTTGTGAATTTTAATATTATATTAAAGATGCATTAAAACTGGTAATTGTAATTGACATGGTATCAAAATTATTACTATTGTAAGTAGTCTGGAAGTTCGGGATTCACACCCTTCTGAAACAAGACCACTGTTATTTGACGGATTGCTTAACTTGTTTTTGCAAATTTGTTTGTAGAAGAATTTTGTGAATTTGACGTAGAATACATTAAATTTGCTCTCCACTATGAAGATTGTCCTCCTTTGTATTGGATAGTAACAAGCATATCACAAAAGCGGAGGATATGATGAAATTATTGGGATAGTTATTTTGATCGCGATGAAAGTGCTGTCATATATATATATATATATATATATATATATATACACACGCTATATAAATGACTTTTTTTCGCGATATTAATAAGTTTTATATTCACAAGTTAATAAATAATATTAAATACGATCTAATTGTTAGTATTTCTTCCGCGTTTATCAATATTTCATTAGACATTGATTTAGAAAAATTTGTGCAAATTTTTCGTACGTATTTTTAACGTTTTCGTATAATCCCGCATTGCTAAAATTTGTTACTTATGCTCCTATAATATCATTTTTATTATATTTTGAACAGCGTTTATAATTGTTATATTATATTGCAAATAATAATTATTATTGTAGTATTGAATATAATGATTATGGATTACAATCAAAGATAATATTAAAAAAGTGATGCAATATGATTGCTAATGATTTTATTGTATACTAATCGTAATGTAATGAAATACAATAAAATAAGTAAACATAAAAATACAAAATATATTAAAAATATATCCACCTGTAAAACCTGTTAAATTTATTAGTGATTTTTTTTATGAGTGAGTATATTTACAAAGAAAAGAGGACCGCCGATAAAATCAGCAGGGATGGTGGAGGGCCTCAAGATCGTTTTTGCTAAATTAAACCTCAAATTAACGAAATATGATTGGAAATATTTGAAGTGTATTCAACGTCTCTACAGTTGGCAATTAGAGACTGTGGAATATATTTACATACTAGTAATTATGATAAAAACAGGCTAAAACTTTGCATAAAAAAGTACTTCGTAATTTCATTTTTATACAGACGCGTATTATATGACAAAATTCACTAACTTGTTTGATTTTTTCTTAATTCAGTTTCTTAAAATTAAACAACTTTTATTTTTATAGTAGGAGATGCGAAATTAAAATTTTTGTTTAATGTTAACCCATTAATAAATATTGTATTATTAAAAGATTTATTAAATAAAAATGTAAAGATTCTTATTGCAGAACCAGAATTCAAATTTTCTTTAATTATACGAATTTTGTGTTATGATATGCATACATTTTGTATATGAAATTTCTTATACATATAAGCAAAATGTGTAAACAAAAATGTTGTAAAAATATATAAGAAATTTATGTATTTTATATTTTATATTACAATAAAAAGATTTAATTCTATTTTTTTAATTGTATTTTATTATATTGTATTGTCTGATTACTTTGTATATTATAATTCTTTTTTTATATTCTATATTTTGGTATCAAATAAATACATTGCATGAAAATATTGAATTCGTATGTAATACTGTAATACATAAAAACAATCAAATCCAGCAAATCTCAAGCTATGCGTAACGTACATTTTAATTATAATTTACCATACAAGAACATAACTGTAATATAATACATATGTTATGTTAATTGTTATACAGTTATATTAATTGTTACATGTTCAGATATGTTATTCACCGATATTAAGTTCCCACTGAGGATGACCACATTAAAGGTCGAAACGTATGATTAATTTTTAATTTTTTAATTGACGATATATATATAGAAGAATTAATTTAGAGAGTAATAATGGGGCATTTTGCGATTATAGGAAATAGGCCTTCATGTTCTTTTTCAGATTTCTCTCTGTATATATTTATGAATTTAGAATTATCTGTCTTAAGTCTTCTCGATTTGTTGCATTTTCTCTTAGTATAGGTTTTGTATGAGAACATTATTAAATAATATTTGCACTTTTAAAAAATATTTTTAGCCTTATTTCTTTAAGGCTTCAATTATTCCAATTTTTAGTTACTATTTTTATATGCATTGTATAAAATTATATTCTGAACACGTCACGGACAAAACAAATATATGTAACATATAATGGGACAAAATTGAAGACTGTAGATATGTGTTACCCACCGGCCATATTCGTGACTACATATTTCATCGTACACGTTTGTCCACATAGAGGCGCCAGTAAACGGGTTCTATCTGTGACGCATACGTCCATGACTCTCAGGCTTCTCTCTGGATATATTCTATACTTTATACTTTTTACATTTTAAATCAATAATGGCATCACGAACGTTATTTACCCTTAATCGATCAACAAACTTGCATTTGTTACATTATCAACCTTTTTTAATATATATATTTTTTATAAATCGATAAAAATAATATGTAATGTTGACAATTGATAATCTGTAATTGAAATGAATGTGTTAACAATTTTATTTGGCGACAATTTAAATTGCAAATTTGGTATAGAATATAATATACAGAGATAATAAATTTATATGTTGTAAATATTACACAATATTTGATTAAATTTTAATTAACATTTTACAAATTTGGGATTGTTGTAAACTTATTAATAATTAAATCAAAAAAATGTATTCTATACTTCTCTATATATTTATAATATTTTTAAGTTATTATTTTATAGTTATTGAAATAATTTTTTGTACACGATATTATTATCTTATTAATTACTATTACTAAAAATAACAAATTTTATTTGATTTATTTTAATAGTTATAATACGTATATTCTATGCACTATACCTTAATAAATTTGCCAATTTTGTGTTTTGAAACTTCACTGACTTCAATACACACAATTTTAATTTTAAGTATACAATTTCCTTTAAAAAGCGACGTATATGTATAATTTAATATATATTCATTTATTGTGATTATAATATTACTATCATAAATACATTTTTCAACTTGCATTTTTTGTAAATAAAATGTATTGGAATAATTTTATTTAAATTCTTCAACTACATTCTTTTTTTGTTTCAACAAAAACAACCAATTTAATCAGACAAAGAATGTTAGAATAAAATGTTTGACTGTACTTTGTGGTAGAAATAAATTAAATATGATTTCAGCTATGTTTTCATCAAGATTTCATATAAGTAAACTATAATTGATAGTTTGCTAACATTGTATGACGAACTATAAGCCATAGTTCGACATAAAAGTGGCATGACATCATGTAGGTATAAGACATGCATTTTAAAATTGTTGCGTATGCGAAAATATGGTTCTGCGTGGGGACGCAAAATTGCAAGTTTTGTACCACACTAATGACATAGTCGTCGAATGCATAGACGGAAGTTGCAGATGAAAAATTAAGTTGTGAAGCTATAGACTCTTTTGTGATCGTCAATAAAATCTTCTTATTTTGTTTTGGCGCAAAGAATATATTTGTTGTATTATTGTAGTGCTCAATATACATAGCTATACATATATGTGTGTACTTTTTAAGTACCGATAATCCAAAGACACTGAATTAAAATTTATCTTTAATTTATAGTTAATTTCTTTGTAACAAAAATCTAATTAATATAATTATTCCATAATTATTTAATATACATATGTATATAATTTGTTAACTATTATGTTTTTGAAGAAATAAGAATTATGTATTTGTAAATTATAATGAACATTATAGAAACATAATATTTTTTCTATAATATTGAAAGTAATCAGAAAAAAAATAAAGAAGTTATATGATTTAAATAATACAAGAACGTTCTATATTAATTGTATAATAAAATTGTTTTATTGTATTTTTATCGAATATTACAAATAAAAAAGAAATGAACGTTTTGACGTTTACATTTAAAATTCTTACCATTTGCGGATGTTGGCCACCGTATTCATGCACGACACGATACAAACGTATAATGTATGATGTATATACGATCCTCATAGTTTTGTTAATAAATACATTTACATTATCGCAATTGATGGATTTAATTCTGACTGTGGACAATGCCGATGATTTCTCCGAGAATTTCTATGTGATACTTGCTATGTTCGTATCATGCTGTAAGATGTTCAGTTTATTGAGAAATCGTAACAACATTGCGATGCTGATTGATATTCTGATGAAAAAACCATGTAGGCCTACTGAACATGATGAAATAGAAATTCGACAGAAATTTGACAAGATTGTCCAGTAAGTATCTTAAAATAATTAATAATTAATTATTGTTTAATATAACATGTTACAAAAATATTATATGTTGTAAAGAATTAAATCTTTCCATTATATTACAAATATTATAAAAAGAAAATAACAATGACATAAAATATTGTATAGTATATGTTATATATTCAGACATTAAGTAAGATATGTACTATAGAGGAAAGTCGCCAATACTGACATCACAGGTCTTCTAAAGTGACACTTCCTTATTTCTCAGAAATTAAATGGTTGGATATAACAGGGCAATAGGAGTCAAGTACGGTAATGTGCAAACCAATATGATTAACAAAACAATTTTAATAATAATAAAATTAATCTGCTTACATTTTTCGGCTCACTTTTGAGTCATCTTCAGAGACAATATAATATTGTAATTATAAAAAATTTTTCGTATTATTAAGGTGTCTTTAGGATTTAATTTATGTTCTCCGAAATTAACTATTGCATTTTATTATTAATACTAATAAAATCATGATCTGTTTAGCTAATTAAGGAAGTACAAACTCATAATTCGTGTATTTGTGGCTTATTTCTATATCAAATCAGCTAAAAACGAATTTTACAAATGCGAAATTTTACAAATAAATTCTTACGATTTTCTTTTGCAAATTGCGTAATTTATATAATAATGACTATATTATTGATAATATTCGTCATTTTAAATGCTTGTAATTTCCTAAATCAGTTTTATTTATATTATTTTTTCTTTTAGTTTTTTCATTATACGATTTTAAATTTAAAATTGGGATGCAGCATAAACCGCTACATCTGTCTGTAAAATAGATTATGAGCTAACTTAATCTTTATAATGTTGTTATATAGTTGCCTTATATTTTCTTGTAGAACAGCATAAAGTAAATATGCATATAATTCAATAAAAATGTTTTATAACGAAGTGAAAAGATTCTGGAATATCTTATATACGTTCATTTGTAGATCTTTTATACAGATAATTTCGGTAAAAGAAAAAGAATAGGAATATGTGGCATTACTGCCCACTGTGTCAGTTTTGGAGTCCATTTTGTAAGACGCTCATTTTTCGCTTATCTTACGAAAAAATTAATTATTGCAAAATTACAACAGTATTATAAAAACTGTTTTCATTATCTGATGGAAGACACTTTTTAGTTTGTACTTATGTTTTTAAAGTTTTATTTCTACTTTTTGCTTAAGAAATATTGTTTAAAAACAAAGTGATGTGTCGGTATCGATGACTTTCCTCTATTTTTATAAATTGATTTATTTAAAGATTAACTTTACATGACGTTAAATTAAAATGTTATGATTTAATAATAAATTAACATTAATGAAAGAAGAAACAAAGAAAATATATATTTTACAGAACAAACACGCTTTGCTACGCGACTTTAGTGGAACTAACATGTGCGTTTGCATTAGGAACATCTGTGTTTAAAGACTACAGAAGACACAACCTAGCTTTTCGAGCATGGTTACCATTTAACTATTCTTCGCCAATGTTATTTCGGATCGCTTACTTTCATCAATCGATAAGTTTGACCGCTGGATCGATGCTTCACCTCGCTTGCGACAGTCTAATTTGCGGATTATTGATGCACATTTGCTCCCAGTTGGAAATATTGGAATGTCGTTTGAAAAAAACTATTAATAAGCCACATATTTTTCGGGAATGTGTCATACAGCATACATGCATTTTTGAGTTAGTTCTTTTTTTATCATTATTGTTATAGATAATAATTTCTCAAAATTTAAATAATTATAAAAAATGTTTGAAATTTACGTCCGGTTGATTCTAGATTTGCATTAATAGCAAATGAAAAATTTAGATTAACAATCACCGTCCAATTCTTAGTGAGTATGTTAGTAGTATGCTTCAATCTGCATCAATTGACGCAGACGAGTATGTTAAGTGCAAAATATGTTCAAATAGTATTATATATGTTTTGCATGCTGACACAAATCTCTTTTTATTGCTGGTATGGAAACGAAATTAAGTTGAAGGTGTGCACGAATATATTTTTTACATATGATTTTTTATTTTTTTTTCATATTGTATGTTTATTTATTTGCATATATACTTTAATATCTAATATGTCAGTAACACGTAATAGATATAATGTTAAATTATTGTATTAAAAAAATTAATTTATATTTCATACACATAAAATAAGATATATGAGAAAGAGAGAGACAAAGAAACAGAGAGAGAGAGAGAGAGAGAGAGAGAGAGAGAGAGAGAGGGGGGGGGGAGGGAGAGTGGGAGGGAGAAAATATAAATACTTACATTTTGAATTAGGTTACACATTTTCTTTCGTTTTATCATATTTTCCATATATCAATCTATAAGAAAAATATAAGATTTGATCTCTTTGTTTTACTTTATAATTAAAAATTTTAGAACTTAATAAACAAAATTTTTTGTACGTATTTTTAAATATAGAGTCGGCAACTGGTCAGCAACATATTCGAAATGGAATGGTTTGTGTTGGATTATCGTGTGCAAAAAGATTTGTCAATAATTATGATGCGTAGTATCGTACCTATTGAATTCACCAGTGCTTATGTTATCTCTATGAATCTTCAATCATTTGTTAGTGTTAGTATAAATCTTTATTCTTAATCTAAAATTAGTAATTAACTATAAATTAATAACTAAAAGAGAATGAATTTCGAGCGATTTGGATGGAATTATTGAGATCAACTTTTTCTAAATTCGATTTTATTCATTAAATCAGAAAATCAGTTTAAAATGTTTTTTTCTTATTCAAAAAAATGTTTTAAGTAAAATTTATATGATTTAAAATAGTACAAATAATAGTAATTAATTAAAAAAAAAATCATTTTTTTTAAATTATGTAAAAGTTATTGACATTTTAAAAATAAAATTATATGTTTTTTTTTTACATAACATGATTTTTTCTAGTTTCTGCATATTAAAGAAATTTTCTACGATGTACATTTTATTAGAAAAAAAATTATTAATTTGTATAGAAGTGCGTGATATGTAAATAATTATGTTTATTGTGTGCAGTTGCTCAAGACGTCGTATTCTGCTTTCAATATACTTCAACAAATAAAGTAATAAAAAAAGTAGAAGAAAATCAATACTTATATTTTGTATTTTTATCAATTTTAATTTCTGTATAAAACAAATGTGTATAAAAATAAAACTTAAATTAGATTATTGTAATCAATATCTTTATGTATTAAATAAGATTGTACTAAATAAGATCACTACATAAAGAGATATCTCAAAAGCTGTGCAATGTTTTCTCCTATTGACACTATTAAGTAGGTAATATCTTCTTAATGCATATTTTTTCAAAATTTATCTTTTTCATTAACAATATGATTACTCTGATATTATTATAATATGAAAAATTGTATTGAGCAATTTTTATGGTCTACTGGGAAAAAAGTTAACATTTAAAGCAAGTTATCATTTAATTATTCAACGATAGTACACTTTACTTCCATCAATTAATATGCTCGCTTATTGGAGCTATGCTACATAAAAAATTGATTTAACGTTATTAATGAATTGTATATTCTTTCTATAGTATTTTTACTTACGATACATGTCCATATACAATATATAAAATATTTTTACATATTATTTTATATTGATGTGCATGTGTCTATACAAGATTGTGTTTTACTGCAGTGTGATAGAATATTAAAGTATTTGACTAGATGGAATATAACTGGATGTACGATATATGAACATTGCATTATTCATTGCATAATTTTCAATTTCTGTTTTTTATTCTTTGATTAGAACTTATAGTTCTTATACATATTTTAACAAAACATTTTTCGTATAAAATATCATTATATCATGACTTCATATACAATATCACATCTTTATTTAATGATTGCACTGTCTTTGCATGAAAATATTATTACGCAAAGGGCATAATTACAGTCTAAATAATAAAAATTCTTGTATGAGGGAGGAAGTTGAACATATATGGTATTATTATCGGAAAACTGCGAGAGCCTTTTTGCAAGAGACTATAGACATTTGGTGAGTCAGTCTCTCAAGATTTCATTGTGAATTGCAATATCACTATAATATTAACTTTGACTTTGTCACTACAGTATAGCCATTCTTAACGAAATTAATTGACAATTAGTGTTTAGTAACATGTAATTTATTTGCTAAATTAATTTATAATAAATAATTACATAACAGAGAATGTAAAATTTTTAATACATTACTTCATTGTTGTAAAAAAACAACTTTTTAAAGCAAAAAGATAGACAAAATTAAAGTTAAAATGAGCTTATTAAAATTTACATTTAAAATTTTATCGAGTTGCGGTTGTTGGATACCGAATTCTTGGATGTCTCCACATCGACGATTAATATATCATGTGTATACTATTTTTATACTTTTACTGATAAATACATTTACATTGTCGCAATTCTTGGATATAATTCTGATCGTTGACAATTCGGAAGATTTCATGGATAACTTTTACATGCTGCTTGCCATGATCGTTTCTTGTTTTAAAATGTTTAGCCTGTTAATAAATCGTAATAACATCGCCATGCTTACAAACATTCTTATCAATAAACCGTGCAAAGCATGCAATACAGTCGAAATAAAAATACAACATAAATACGATAAGCTAATTGAGTAAGTACATTGCAAGATAATCATTTTGTATTTATATTTCACATTTAATTATATATTAAAGAATTAAACAATTTATATTTTTTTAAGAGATCGATATAAAATTTGATTAAAATGTATAATATCTTATTAATTAATTTTTTTTATTAAAGAATAATATTTTTCAGTATTATTTTTTGTATTTTCTTAGAAATTTTGTAATTTGGTAACTTTCTTATAATAATACATTCTTTTTTTAACAAACAGTTGATATATAATACACATTTTTATCAAAATTATTGTTTAAAGAATTAAAGTTGTATATCACTAACTTTCCAATTTAAAAAAAATTAATAGATTAATTTAACTAAAAGTTATCTTGATAAAACATATGAAAGAGAGATTATCATTAAAGAAAGATTATCATTGAATATTAAAATGAAATGCATGCAGCTGTTTTACAGGACAAATACTCTGTATTATATGATCCTAGTTGAATTAACGTGTGCATCTACGGCTGTAGCATCTTTGCTCACGGATTACAGAAAAGAAAAGTTAACGTTCAGAGCGTGGCTGCCATTTGATTACTCCTCGACAATGCTTTTTCATTTTACGTATTTTCATCAATTAATAAGTTTGACAGTTGGGTCTGTCTTACATGTTGCTTGCGATGGTCTTATTTGCGGATTATTGTTGCATATATGCTGTCAACTAGAAATATTAAGTTGTCGTTTGAAAAATATTGTACATAATCCAAAAGTACTTCGCGATTGTGTTACTCAGCACAATCTTTTATTTAAGTTCGTTTTATTATAGTTTTTCTTTAAATATTTTTTTAATATACATAAACAAGTTGAATAAAAATGTCTTTATACATGCAAATCAAAGATTTTTATGCATTGTAACTTTTAATTTTTATATTTTTTATATTTTCCATCAATGATAAAATATGTTTAATTGATTTCAGATTTGCGTTTCTATTAAACAAAAAATTTAGGTTTACTATCACTTTTCAGTTCATAGTAAGTACATTAGTGGTGTGCTTTACTTTATATCAGCTAACCAAGACAAGCGGAAAATTCGTTGAATTAGGAATGTACATGTCGTGCATGCTGACACAAATCTTTTTGTATTGCTGGTATGCAAATGAAGTAAAATTGAAGGTAATATACAATTTTTTTGGAAATGGATATCTCCTTAATGTTTCTAATTTTTAGTTTTTATGCATTAATTTTTTATTTTTTATATTATCTAGATACAATATATATTGACAAATATATATATATAATATACACATTTTATTTATAGTAAAGTACAAAATGCTTTTTAAAATGCACAGAAATTCATATGCAATTTGCGTATTAATTAAATCTTTTTTTGTTATAAATAAGACCTTAATAAATAATTATTTTCATAAATAGAGTCTACAATTAGTTAATGATCTATTTGAAATAGAATGGCTTACATTAGGGCAAGAGACAAAAAAGGATTTATTAACAATTGCATTACGTAGTAGAATGCCAATCGAATTCAATAGCGCTTATATTATATCTATGAATCTGGATTCGTTTGTGGGTGTTAGTATAAATAATTAATTTTTATATTACGATAATTATTTTATGATATTTAAAAAATGTCCACTTACTTTTAAAGTATAAATATTAAACTATTAAATAAATTTTGAACTTATTGAAATCAAAAGATGATTTTGTACATTGCAGTTGCTTAAGACATCGTATTCGACCTACAACATACTTCAGCAAACACAAAATGATAAAGCTAACTAGGAAAATTGTTATATATATTTGTTGTTACATATACATCACACAGATTTTTCATGAAAATAAAATAGGAATTAAAATAAATAAATATTTCATTAAATATAATTGATTATTATATATAATTAATTTTCATATAGTTAATCTTGATATATTAATGTTATCAGAGAAAAAAACACACAATTTCCATAGCACATTGTTTGTATTAGATATACAGAATGTTTCAGATCCATAATCATTTTCCTTCATTTTAAAAGGGTGTACAAGTGATCTGTGTATTTTTTATTAAATATTCTGCAACATTTTTTTACTTACGTTTTGCATTCGTATTTGTATTATCTAATTAGTATTTTGCGGCTCCTTTATTTAAGAAATGACATAGCTCAAGAAATGATTTTTAGATTGTTATCATAAATGAGTTCAAGTATAACACTATTTTGTTGATCATCAAAAACTAATATAACTGTATAAAGAATCAATTCAAATAGAGTTATATCTTAAAGGTAGTTTTTTAAGAGTTGTGATATTACGAAAATGACATTTGATTAAAATATATTCTTTCTCTCTCTCTATATCGATATGATTGATTAATCAATAAATTTTTGTTACAAATAATTTTTTGTTTTCTAAAAAATTAAAATTTTTAAACCTTTGAAGTAACTTTTGAAATGTATATATATGCAGAGTGCGGCTTCTTACAATGTTTGTAAGTTATAGAATGTTCAAATAGATTGTCGTCATAAAAATCAATATAAAGATGTAAAATTGATTACCAGTTACGATTTAATAAATTATTTCTCGATTTTTTTTTGTTTTGTAGCTCTGCTTTCTAATACTTTATTTCATTAAATGCTATTATGTCAAGATATAATATTGAGTGATCTTATATCCTATCACCAGAAAAAAAACTACACAGGGCAGAATGGGTGGGATGCATGAAAATATTATTATCTGAAAGGCATAGCAGTAATCTGAATAATGAAAATTGTCGTACAACACATATGAAAGGGGGAGTTAGGCAAAGCACGTTGTTATTAGGAAGACCGTAAGGCTATAGACGTAAGGCTATGGTCATCAGTTTTTCTCAAGATCTCACTATGTATCATATGTTCTAAGAAAATATTTTTATTATAATATCATCTGTCAATAGTGAAAATTGTTGAATTGAAATCTAGCAATATTAATTTATTGTTGTATACGAATATCGAGCACATTTTTAAGTAATTATTATATATATATTGCAAGATATATATTTGGGATTTTACGTTTCAATATTTAAAATAAGGAAATTAAAAAGAGAATATTATACAAACTTTAAAAAATGATTTACGAGCATACGCTTTATTTGGAGAACAGACAATGATATTTGCAACAGAAATAAATTAGAAATTAAAGATGCAAGTATTAAATTTTACGTTTAGAATATTAATGATTTGCGGATGCTGGATACCAAATTCTTGCACGACACCATGTAAACGGTTAGTTTATCATTTCTACACTATTGTCGTATTGCTACTTATACATACATTTATGCTATCGCAATTGATGGATTTAATTTTAATCGTGGACAATCCCGACGATTTTACTGACAATTTTTACATGCTACTCGCAATGATTGTTTCTTGTTGTAAGATGTTCACTCTGTTGGTGAATCGCAGTAACATTGCGATACTAATCGACATTCTTGTAAGGAAACCTTGTAAACCGATTCAGTCCGACGAAATCAAAATTCAGCAGAAGTTCGATAAACATGTACAGTGAGTACTATTATACAACAATTTTCTTGGACGTATAAAAATCTTTTTTTTTTAGTAAACTATAATTAAAAGTATGCATATTACGTTTAATCCTTAACGATTTTTCGATATGTTATACTCAACTTTTTTCCAATCTTTTTTTATTTTCCATTGCTTATAATTTTTTTATTAGAAAAAATATGTATATTTGGTACTCTTATATTTCTTAATATTTAGCGTTTAAATTAAACAAATTTTTTTTCTATTATACAATATATTTTATGAGAATTATACATATGAGTATTCGAATTGAGCTATGTATGTACACTTATGTATTTCTGGTTAAAAATTTATTTCACGGATTTCTCTGATTGAGTTACAGTTAAAATTTAGTTAATTCTTAAAAATGTTATAAATCAAATAAAAAAATTTAATTAATTTTCAATTAATTTGTAGCATTTAAATTTTTAGAATATTTAAATATTTAAATATATGTAAATAATTTATATTTGTACTGATGATATCATAATTGGGATTCTAATGATTACAATAATTTTTGGTAAATGATTAAATTAATAATTTTTTCTAATACATCTCTATACATACATTAATTAATATAAATTATTTATTAAAACTGATGATGTATATTATGCTAACGTTTTGATGTTATTAATATATGATTAGGAAGAAATATTACAAGTTGCATAGTTAAAATTTAAGTAAAAATCCTAAATAAAACGGAAAAATCTGTATAAGTAGACATCTTGCAGGACAAATACGCTTTTCTATGCAGTTTGGGTTGAAACAACATGTCTCTGCATAGCTGTAACATCATTGCTAACAGAATTCAGAAAAGGAAGATTGACATTCAGAGCATGGTTGCCGTTCGACTATTCCTCGTCGTCACTGTTTCATATTGTATACGCGCATCAATTGATAAGTTTGACGGCTGGATCTATTCTCCATGTGGCTTGCGACGGTCTAATATGTGGATTATTGGTGCACGTTTGCTGTCAGATAGAAATAATTGAATGCCGTTTGCAAAAAGTCGCACATGATCAAGACATTCTTCGCAAATCCGTCCTGCAGCATAATCATGTATTCAAGTTGGTTTTATGCAACTAATATATAAATATTTTAAATCTATCCTGATATATTACATTGTATTGCTATTTATATTACTTAAAAAGAAGGAATGAAGTGTTTTTATACTTTTGATAATATTAAATATACATATTTTGTATGTATTTAGACTTTAACTATTAATTTATTTAGTGTATCTTTATTTTTCTTCCAACACACACTATTTGTATTATTTTATAATAATTCTTATTAGTCTTTAAAAAAATTTTATATTATTGTATATTTATTGTAATTAATTAAAGAAGGTTATAGTATTTAATTTGAATTTTAGATTTGCTCGTCTGATGAATGAAAAATTTAGATTGACTATTGTTATACAATTTGTTGTGAGTACATTAGTAGTATGTGTCATTCTTTATCAATTTACCAAATCAACAGCGTCAAGAGCACAATACATGCAATTAATGATGTATATGGGCTGCATGCTATCACAAATCTTTTTTTATTGCTGGTATGGTAATGAAGTTATGTTAAAGGTATATATGTGTGAAACATGTATCTATTACTTGAATATTTATAATAGTACTATATTTTGCGTAAACAAAATGAATGATGGGCTTTAATTGTTAAGTATAGAGTCGTCAATTGGTTGATAGCATATTTGAAATGGAGTGGTTTGAATTAAACAAACAATCTAAACAATCTTTATTAATGATTATGAGACGAAGTTCAAGACCAATCGAGCTTACCAGTGCTTATGTTATCTCGATGAATCTTGATTCATTTGTGGGTGTTGGTATTAAAATTTATTTTTACCTGTAACTAATAGCTTAATTATAAGTAAAATATTTAATGTTAGATCTATCTCTATTAAAATTTTTTAAACAATTATTATTCTTATTAAAAGCACACAATTTCAATGTACTAAATATATTTTTCCTGTTTATTTATGTAAAAAATAATTATGTATAAAGTACAAATTTAAAAATAATAAATTAAGAGAATTTTTCTAAATTAAGAGAATAATTTTAATATAATTAATATTGTTGGCTGTATATGTATTTAATTTTTTTTAAATATCATAATTAATAATCTTAATTGCAGTTACTCAAGACATCATATTCAGCTTACAATGTACTGAAACAAATGTAAAAGCGACAAAAACAAAGTAGAAGAAGAATTTTACTTTATTTCGTTATCTTTTAATACAAATCATTATTAAAGATTATAATAATATGGATTTGCGTTACTAATATGTATGCGGAGAAACATTAAACAGTTATATCTGACTTTATTCGACAATGATAACATAATTTTTATAATGTTATCTATTATGGCATTTGAGTAGAGAGATATTTAAGGAGAGAAACTTACAATTAGAATTTACGTTAATTATGGAATCTTAGAATGTTTACTATTGCTGATTATATGATATTGTTTTTACTTGTGCACTAATCGAAATATATTCTTATGGATTTGAGTAATATTTTACTATATATATATACACACACTTCACAGACTATACATAAACTATCAAAAATTAGAAAGCAGCGGAAATCAATACAAGGAAGAAAAATTTATCATTCACATCACGATATGGCAAATTTACACCTTCATGAATTAAATAGTTTTTGGTTGAAGTATACGAGAGTTATTGACGTTAATATTTTATGAAGAGTAAGTACGGAGAGCTGGACTCGACATCGAGGGTTATTATTTTTTATTCCTCTGTTGTTTTCTAACATGCAATATCATAAAACATAATTCACGTGAAGTATTATTATGTCATAATATGTTAATATTATCAAGTCTGTATTTAGCCGAGTATATGAAAATAGTATTATGTGAAGAACACAATTGCAATCTGAATAATAAAAGTTGTCAAAAGGAATAGTTAGGTAAGCTGTATTATTGCACGAAGATTGTGAAGCTATAGACAACATTTAATGACCGTCAGTTTACTGTAAGATTTTATTGCGTGTCACATTATATTGTAAGATAATTTTTCTCGTAATATGAATTTTCTTATAATATTATTTATTATCAAATAGTATAAGAAAATTGTCCTTCATGATGTAATTTAATTATCAATTTACGCATATTATTATACGTATGTATAGATTTGTAATCAATTGATTGATAATGTCATGTTATGAAATGCTTGAAATTTCTGATTAATTGAATTAAAGAATTATTCAATATCTAAATTTTTCAAAATTTTAACAGTGTGACATTGAGAGATATGTATTTTATAATATATATATGTGTGTGTGTACAAAAATATAAAGTAAATAATTTATTGTAATTATTTTCATGAAGGAAAGATTAATAAATAACATTAAAGAAGATAACAGAAGATATTAAAGATGTTTATACTGGCCTTTACGTTCAAAATATTGACGATTTGCGGTTGTGGACGACTGGATTCTTGGTCGACTCCATACAAACGGTTAGTTTATCATGTGTATACTATTTTCGTAATGTTATTAATACACACATTTATGCTATCGCAATTGATGGATCTTATTATAATCGTGGATAATTCCAATGATTTCACCGATAACTTCTACGTGCTACTCGCTATGATCGTTTCTTGCTGTAAGATGCTCGCTCTGTTGATGAATCGCTGCAATATTGAGATGTTAATCAAAACTCTTATGAGAAAACCGTTTCGACCGGTTGAACCCGACGAGATGAAGATTCAACAGAAATTTGAAAAACTCATACAGTAAGCATCGCGAGCTAGCATCACCTATTAATGCTCTTTTAATATATAATTAAGATATAATTAAAATAAATTAGTTGAATGCTGTTATACAACAATTAAGATTGTTTTTATTTAAATGAACAAATAAATCATACGTAATGTAAATCTTTAACTTAAAGAAAATAATGTAACTAAAAATATTGAATAAAAAATGAAACGCGAAAACGTCTATAGTCGTTTTACAGGTCAAATACGCTTTACTATACTATCCTGGTCGAGACAACGTGTCTGTCTGTTGCCGTGACATCATTATTAACTGAATTCAAGAAAGGAAATTTAACGTTCCGAGCGTGGCTGCCATTCGATTATTCCTCGTCGCAACTTTTTCCATTTGTATACGCTCATCAATTGATAAGTTTTACAATGGGATCTGTACATCATGTAGCTTGCGATAGTCTTATATGCGGATTCCTAGTGCACATTTGCTGTCAGATAGAGATATTGGAACATCGTCTGAGGAAAAGCGCACGTGATCCTAATATTCTTCGCGAGTGTGTTCTTCAACATAACAACATATTCAAGTTTGTTTTCAATTATGCTGAAAATAGATGTATTTTTGTTATTAAGGTGTACGATGTATAGCACAGACTTTTTACTACGTTTCCAATTTATTTTTTTGTAAAATCATTCCCTTCTCGATTATACTCGTACCTTGATTTCTGGAAAAAACCCTGTATATATTTTATTAATTTCAAAGTTGCAATATTACTTTTTATTAATTTTAGGTTTGCTCGTATAGTAAACGAAAAATTCAGGATAACTATATTTGTCCAGTTTGTTGTAAGTACATTGGTGATGTGTTTTAATCTGTACCAATTTACCAAGTCAACAGCGTTAAGAACAAAATATATGCAGTTAATAATGTATACGTGCTCTATGCTGTCACAAATCTTTTTTTATTGTTGGTACGGAAACGAAGTGAAATTGAGAGTATGTGAATTTTTAAAATAAGTATTTTTTTATTTCAATATTTATAATATATAGATAAAATAAATATATGTGTCTTTTCTCTTTCTCTTGATTGTTAAAATATAGAGTCGACAATTGATAAATAATATTTTCGAGATGGAATGGTTCAAATTTAATGGAACTGCTCAGAAAACTTTACTAATGGCCATGAGACGTGCTGTAGTACCAATTGAATTTACTAGTGCCTGTGTTATTTCTATGAATCTGGATTCGTTTGTGGGTGTTAGTATTGTAATGTGCCATTATATATAATTAAATTAGAGATTGTTAAATTAAATAACGTTTTAATATTAAAAGTGCTTTCTTTTTTTTAATAAAAAACAATGTCAAATTAAAATAAATATTTGCTTATATTAATAATAATTAAAATATTTAGAGAGTATATTTAACAAAAAATTTATTATAATTAATCATATATTAATTATAAATGTAAGATAAGAACCAATTAAATAAAATTCACACATATTCAAATGTAATAACTTATCTAAAATATCGTTAGTAATAATTTCTGTTGTAGTTGCTCAAGACATCATATTCGGCTTATAATATACTTAAGCAAACACAAGGTTCATAATGTTGGATATATGTAGCAAAAATATCGGTGACATCAACGCAATGTGAATCTATGTTACAAATATGTGAATATGAATATCATGTATTTACATCTATAAAATTTTATTATCATATAATACTGATAATTATTTCTCGTATTATATTGATATCATAAACAGAAAAAAAAACTAAAATATTTGTGTACTACAATTTCAATTACAACTCATTTTGACATGTGGATTTTACTTACATTAACTTAAAAATTGTAGCAAAAGGGATTAAAATCAGGGAGAGAAAATCTGTTGCCTTTGGAATTATTCGAATAATAAATCGATATTTTTATTATTTCCAAGTAGAAGTAATATTTCCTAGAATATCAAATATTTCCTAGTAGAAAGTGGGAGTTACCAATGTCAGTACTTTATGCGGCGTACAGATACACAGATCGCTTATGCGACATTTGAAGGTTGTCATTTTTTTCCTTCCACAGCAGTTACAACATATAATTTATTTTGAAAGTATTAATACAGTATACTACCATCAAATAAAGTCTGTGTTTAGCATTTGCGTTGCACATGAGAGAGGGCCGTGGTTACAAATTAAATATTAAAAACTATCGTATAAGGAGGGACGAGTTAAGCGAGGATCTTTACTAGAAATTCGCAAATCTATAGACATTCTATAATTGTTCTTCTAAAGAGTTTGTCGCACGTTAGATTAATATTCGTGCAAACAATTTTGTTGCAACTTAGAGTTTTATTCGACAAATTATTGTATTTGTTTTTATAAAGATATCTAAGAAAATTAATTGCTTAATTTTTTTAGTTAATACATATCTAAAATTTTATATGATTAAAGAAGAATGTGAAAAATATATAAAGAGTGTATGAACTCTTGTTATCATTTAATTTTTACGATGTATATAAACTATTATACTGAGAAACATAATACTAAAATGCGAGTATTAGATTCGACTTTTAAATTTCTAACTATTTGTGGTTGCTGGCGACCGGATTCTTGGACATCGTCATGTAAACGTGTAATCTACCATACGCACACATTTTTCGTGCTTGTGCTAATAAACACGTTTACTTTATCGCAATTACTAGATATTATTCTTACTGTGGATAATGCGGACGATTTCACTGATAATTTCTATATGTTACTTGCAATGATTGTATCTTGTTGTAAAATGCTTAGTATGTTGATAAATCGCAAAAATATTGCTTTGTTAACAAACATTCTAACGGAAAGACCATGTAGACCATTGGAACCGGAAGAAATGGAAATTCACAACAAATTTGATAAGGGCGTACAGTAAGTTTCCTGAAAATGTAAAAAATTATAAAGAGTTTTTATTTAAATTCATTATATCTAAAAAAAAAAAGTATTTTCGGGAAAAACGAAATTTAAATGAAATTGTATAGTTTAAAGAGGGTATAAAGTACGTCGTAAACTATTAATTTTTTGATAACTATATTTTGATACTGTTGCAGAATAACTTCAAAAAAGTCAAACAATTTGATTAAAAAATGACATTGATTTTTATATAAACTAGAAAAATCGATATTAAAAAGATACCATTATTTATTTCCCTTTAAATTATATAATACTTATCTGAAATATTTTTTTAGAAAATGCTTTGTTTTCAAGATATAATCAACTGTTACTACTTAAAATAAGACACTTTACTTTTATTATTAAAATTAATTGCTTAATTATATCAAATATGTAATTTAATTTTCAAATAAAAGTTCGAGATTTAAATATTTCTGGTTAAGGCTATTTTCTATGCCTTTACATACTAACGTAAAGTATATATAATGTTATAATTATTAAAATTATATATTAGGAAAAAATAGGAAAATTGATATTAAATAAGACACTGAATTACAAATGAAACGCGACAATGTCTACAGTTATTTTGCAGAGCAAACACGATACATTATGCAATTTTGGTTGAAACGACTTGCGTATGCATTACGTTAACATCGTTACTCACGGACTTTAGAAGACGGACATTGACATTCAGAGCCTGGTTACCATATGATTATTCATCGCCAATCTTATTTTACATCACATATGCTCATCAATTGATAAGTTTAATAATCGGATCCGTCCTGCATGTTGCTTGCGATGGCCTGATTTGTGGACTATTAGTACACATTTGCTGCCAAATCGAAATATTGGAATCTCGTTTGAGAAGAATAGCATATAAGCCTGGTATTCTTCCTGAGTGCATTCTACAACACAGTCGTATTTTCGAGTTTGTATTTATATATAAAATACTTTTATATAATACAGTTATTTATATATTATATATATGATATAGTTAATATGACAGAAATATTAATATTGTGTATATTGATAAAGACATCAATGTATAGCTATCATTTCTACTCGCAAATATGAAATAGTTAATTACATTTAATTACAGCTTTGCTATCACGGTTAATGAAAAATTCAGGTTTACTATTGCTATTCAGTTTATGGTTAGTACATTGGTAGTGTGTTTCAACCTATATCAATTAACTAGGTCAACTACAACAAATGCAAAATATGTTCAGCTGGTATTATACATGTGCAGTATGCTGACGCAAATCTTTTTTTATTGCTGGTATGGAAATGAGGTAAAATTAAAGGTATGCGATGTTTGAAATAATAAATTATAATTTAAATGATGAATAAATTATCAATTTTTTAATAATTAAATTAATTGCTTTATATACATAATTGATTTAATTAATTTATATATATTTTAATGTTATTTTGTAATTAATATAGAGTCGACAACTCGTCAGTAATATTTTTGATATGGAATGGTGTATATTAGATCAAAATAAAAAAAAAACTTTATTATTAATTATGAGACGTAGTACAGTGCCTATTGAATTTACCAGCGCCTATATTATTTCGATGAATCTTGATTCTTTCGTGGGTGTTAGTATAAAACCGCTTGCTATTATTGCAAAATCAATTAAGTTTGAAAGGATTTAAATCTAGTAATAATATGTACAAATTTATTTGAATAAAATAAAATAAATCTTTTTAAAAAACCTTTTTAGTTCGTTATGTTTTCGTTAAATAACTTCTAACTAAATTTTCTAATATTTATTTATTATATGAAATATTTATTTTTTGCAGTTGCTTAAAACATCGTATTCAGCTTACAATATTTTGCAACAAATATAACAGAGAATGACACAATATAAATAGTGATTCCAATAATTTAGTCTCATACTTTTATTTGCATTTAAATAATTGTAAGCGATAACTCAAACAGAACTAATTGTACAGAACATTATAATCAGTTGATTTTTGTATAAATGTAGTTTTTGTAAGTTAGAAGAATAAAAAGAAATTATTTATTCTCATTATAACCATGTTTCTGCGAGTGTAGAGAGTATGAGAGAGAGAAAGAGAGGGGGGATATTATTATACAATTTAATATTATAAAATTGTTTTTGCGTATATCATATGTTTAATTTACATTACAACTATAACAAAATTAAAGTAAATAATTCAGAATTATTCTTAATTAAATTATATTGTTTAATATTGATATATTTATTAAACTAACTTAAAAAATTATATAATTTGCTATTTAAATAAATGTAAAAATACTTTTCATTCTATAATTTATTTATCTATTACTACTATTACAATATATTATATACTATAATATTTGTTCTCTTAACAACTTTTTCTTACCTATAAAATATATTTGTACAATGAATAATTCGATATTATGTTACTGTAACTAAAAGAAAAATATAAAAGAAAAAGAGATTGAACAGCACTACAAATATCTTAGAAATATCAATAACATCAATATAGCTACAGAGAAATCTGAATTTTAAAGAAAAGTTAAACGTCTAAAGCATAAATGTTATAGAAGTATAATGTGCCAGTGTTGATATCTTATAAAGATAGATTATAATTATCTGTTCAATATTTTATTTTTCTACTCCGTATTTCTTCTACTTCACCTCTTTGTTACGTTTAAAGCCAAAATTATGTTATATATTATGCATGTCAATTTTGTTACCATCTGTATGTATATGTGTTGCTATGTTGTAAAAAATTATTTCACGAAGAATATATTATGAGAAATTCACTGGAAAATGAATAATGGAATAACTACGACATTATTCTACATCTAAGAAATGAGCAAAGCTACAGACTGTAGAGGCAGATATTTATCAATCATTTTAAGAACTTTGTTGCATTTTATCATTATACTTACCATTTTTTATCATTTAAAGTGTTTTTTCTTTATAATAATTTAATGTATTTTTTGCGCAAGACTTAGGTATAAAACATTTGTTTTTAATTGTTAAATAATTAGAAAATTTATGATAAATATGCAATACAAATAACATTTATAAGTAATAAAAAGTAAAATATTAATTAAGTTCATGAGATAATAAAAAAATCAAAATGAAAACTATAAGCAATTTTGAATTGACAAAATTTCAAGTTACACTTCGTACATAATTATTACAATTAGTGATATTATAAGTTATATAAAGTTTGTAGTAATTAATTACGAGTGTTGTGTGCTTGACAGATGTGAGCGTCACACGTGATATCAAAGAAAATAATCTTTTAAAATGTACATCCTTAGATATACTTTTATTCTTTTAACGATATTTGGGTGCTGGCGACCCGATTCCTGGTCGTCTCTATGTAAACGCATCATATATCACATATATACAAGTATAGTAATTCTAATAGTAAATACTTTTATGCTATCGGTATTGATGGATGTAATCTGGACCATAAACAATGGGGAAGATTTTCTTGATAATTTTTTTCCACCAATCGCGACCTTTATTTCTTCTTGTAAAGTGTTCATTTTGTTGATGAATCGTAAAAACATTATTATGTTAATCAATATATTGAGACAGAAACTACATAGACCATCGAGCTCGACAGAAATGGAGATTTTGAATAATTTCGATAAAAGCATACAGTAAGTATTAGCAAACAATATCATAATATTGTGTTATTTAAAATAATATTATTAGAACTATTAAAATTTTTTTGTATTATATATAATATAATGTTTGTAATATTTATATTTTATATAACAATCTTATTTATTATTCAAATTGTTTTAATATGCTTAATAAAATTTTTTATTATAAATAGAAGAATTAAATAGAAGGATTAAAGAATTTCAGAATATATTAAAGAATTTTTTAAAATAAACTATTTTGTGAGTGAGTTAATGAAAAAAGAGATATAAATATGAAATAAAATCTTAAAATATTATTAATATACAATATAAATATATATATTATATATACATATATTTGTATATTTGAAAAACAAATTTTATAATTTTTTTTAGAATAAATACTTTACGCTTTATATATTTGGGAATAGTAACAATGGTGTGGATCACATTATCTTCTTTATATATAAACTTCAAAAACAGAAAATTAATGTACAAAGCATGGTTGCCATTTGATTATTACTCGTCGATATTACTTTTTTATTTAACATCTGCTCATCAAGTGATAAGCCTTACTATTGCAATGTTCGTAAATATTGGTTGCGATACTCTCATCTGTGGATTATTAGTCCATATTTGCTGTCAAATTGAGATTTTGACTTATCGCCTGAGAAATATTATATTTTGTTCAGATTTTCTTCGTGTTTGCTTACATCAACATTACCATATCTTCAGGTTAAATCTTGTGATTTTAAATTTTGCAATTTTTTGTTATACAGATACATATACGTATACATTATTTAAATAATTAGTATATATTATAATATCTTAATAAACTTACAAAGTTACATGTAACGCACCTATTAACAATTATAATTTCTTATTCAACAATGTAACTTTAATATAACACATGAATTATATTACATTTATATTATTGAATAGAAAATTACAATTAACAGGTACATTAAGTGTAATTTTGTCATTGTTGGAATGTTTATTTTGTAAATATATTTTATTAAAATGTGTATAAAATATATATTTAAATATGTTTTAAAATATGTGTACAAATTTGTAAAATTTTAGATTTGCTTTAATTGTAAATGAAAAATTCGGCATGACTATTGCTATTCAATTTATATTAAGTACAATGATGATATGCTTCAACCTTTATCAAATCAGTAAAACAACAGTAAAAACTAATTATATTCAGTTGATATTAGTTATATTTTGTCTATTGACGCAAATCTTTTTCTATTGTTGGTACGGCAACGAAGTAAAAATAAAGGTAATTTACTGCCTATAAATGCAATATAATATGAAACGCAAAGGCAAAATGTATATATCTAAGCTTTTATTTAATAAAAAAAGATACAATAAACTAATTATAATTTTCAATAATATCTAAATTTATTATTTAAATTTAATCTATCTAAATCCGATTAGTCTATTTTTTTTATTATATGTATTATTAAACATATGAATAATTTAAGACGTATTCGTTTATTAATATAAGCATCTTCCATTTTTTATATAAATGCTATTTACATTATTTTGTATATTTCCGTAGAGTTATCAGATTATCGATGATATTTTTGAAATGGAATGGTTGAGATTGGATGATAATATAAAAAAATATCTAATAATGATGATGATGCGAGCACTTGTGCCTATTCAGATTAATTGCGTTTATGTTATTCCTATGAATCTCGAATCTTTTATGAGTGTTAGTATAGATATCATTAAAGTAAATTTTGCCAACAAATTTTTTAACAGTATAATTAAATTTGTTTGAATTTAAGCGAAGCATTATAATATACATATACATTATATTACTGAAATATTTAATAAAATTTAAACAAATTTTATGTTACTTAAAGATATTAAAGTGTTATGTAGTCTAATGTACTTATATATTAAATAATTTTGAAATAATTTAATAAATTTAACATTATGTGAATTTGACGTTACGATCTCATTTATCTAATATTACTACTGGCAAAGTCAATAGAAATTTATTAATTACTAAACATATTATAATAATTTAAGATTGTAATTGTTTATATATTAATTCTAGATACTTAAGATGTCATATTCCACTTATAACTTACTTCAACAAATAGAGAAATAATTGAATAAGTGGTCGATAAAATTAATGTGCTACTCATACTACAAGTTCAAATGGAAGAATTATAATATGGAGAAAAGAAAAAGGTATATTAATTAGTTTTCATAATTGACGTTTGCATTATATATTATAGAAAATAAATATAGATTATCTTAATGCATATAATTTATTTTACTCCTTACTTATTATTTACATTTATTAATATCTGTTTTGTCTTTTCTTAAATATCTTGTTTTTTGTATTATAATTTACATCACAAGTGCAATATAACAAAAACATTATATAACAGAAGTTAGACAATACTGTGTCTGAAATTAATGCGAAGAACGAATTATATAGGTAACTACTAAATATTATTATTAACTGATAAATAAAATAACGATCAATAAAACTAATTTTTTAGATAAAAAAGAAACAATATAATTTAATTACTTATATTTTTTTAGATTTATTAGGTTGAAATATTTTAATACGATAAAAAAATACATTTGTGAGATATGTTAATTATTGAAGTTCGATATAATGAAAGAACATAGCATGTAAAATAGAATCGTTTGTTAAATTATCGTTTAATTGTTGTATTTATTAAACTAATTTAAAAATTGCAATTTAAACAAATATATGTTAGTTATATATGTTATACTAAGTTTTTTTTTACTATATTTGTTAATTACTGCATTTATTATATATTATTATAATACTATATTATTAGCAATATTTTTTAATTAGTAAAGATATATTTATAAAATTAATAATCCAATTTTAACATATAAAAAATAATTAAAATCTTACGAGTATTCTAGAAATATTAATAATGTAAGTAGTACAGAATTCTATAACTAAATTCTATTACTTTGTTTATGATAAAAAGACAAAAGTGATGCTGAAAAGTCTACTTACGTACATGTATGCCGTATGCGTACTGTAAGTATATTACCGATAATGAATGTATCAAATGATTGTATATAAATGTGTGCTTATATGCTTGTGAGTATAAGATGGACATAGAATGATAGTTTTCATCGAGGACATTGCTTGGCATAAAAAATTGTGATGAAATGATTAATCTAGTAACAAAAGTCTGTTGTCAGTAGTGATATAGAAAAATTTAAATCTCATAGGAAATTCAAATATCTAAAATTTAAACGTCTTAAAAATATAACATGTCTACAATATTACAAAAGATAAATAAGTTATAATTATTTGTTTAATAATTTAGAATTCTCTGTCTTGTATTTTCTCTATTTCGTCTCTAAAAAATATTGTTGCTTCTGTAGATATAATCATGCATTGTTATCAATACATAATATGTGTACTTTGAATAATGCATGTCAAGCTATGAAAAAGTCATTTCATGAGAGCTATATTGCGAGAGATACATTGCAAAATAAATAATAAAGAGTGAGATAATGTTATGGAGTGAAACGTGAATATATTAGACTTCCATATCTAAAATATTTGATCTACAAAGCTATAGACTGGCTGACTTGGTCAGTTATACTGAAGATTTTGTTCTGTGCTATACTTACTGATCGTAATTATTTAAAGTATAAAAATATAAATTATAATATATAAAGTACACATAAATATATCTATATATAAAATATTTATAAAGTATTTTTGTTATAACTTAATTTTTCTAATTTTAATCTTTTAAAAATCTTACAATATACAATTCATATTTATTACTATTAGATTAAATCAAAGAATTGTTTTAGTTATCTATAAATGTAAAAAATAAACATTTGTAAATATAAAAAAATAAGAAAATATTTATTAAATCTCAAGAATAAAAATATGAGAAATTTTTAATTGATAAAACTGTCAATTATTTTATAAATATATTTAATATAATTAATAATATTGTACGTTACAAAAAATATCTAGTAATTAATTGTGTACTTCACAGATGATATCAAAGAAGAATATTTTTTAAAATGCGCATTCTTAAACTTAATTTCAAACTTTTGACGATATTTGGATGCTGGCGACCGGATTCTTGGTCGTCGCTACATAAACGCGTAGCATACTACATGTATACCAGTATAATAATTATAATACTAAATACCTTTGTGCTATCGCAACTGATGGACGTAATTCTAACTGTAAACAACGCCGATGATTTTTCTGAAAATTTCTTTATATTAATTGCCATGTTCATTTCTTGTTGTAAATTGTTCATTTTACTGATGAATCGTAAAAACATTATTATGTTGATAGGCATTCTAATGAAAGAACCTTGTAGACCGTCGAGATTGACTGAAATTGAGATTCTACATAAATTCGATAAAAGCATACAGTAAGCATTAACAAACAACAAAAAAATAAATTATTGAAATGTATTAAATGTTATCTTTACTTTTAGATTTTTTAAATATAATTTATAATGTTTTTTTATTATTTAAACAGATTTAATATGTTTTACCCTCTGACTACTATATATATCACATATAATGGCTTCTCAAACAGTTTTAGGAATGAAATGCTACTATAATGGCTTTTTTCTAAACTTCTCTGTATATTTTATATATTATCAAGCAAAAATATTCTCAATTATTTCGATTTCATTCATTGAAAACACGTTCGCGGTTTTAATTGAATTTTGCGGCTAAGCTGTATAGTATAGTAGATACAGCAGGTATAGTGTATCTTTCAGCACAACAGTAGCCAAAGGGTTATATACTTTATTGTATACAAAAATGTATATATGTCATAAAAAATATAATTTATTTATTAATTAATTAACTAAATATGACAGAAAAAAACATAAAGCTAAAAAATATTATATTTAAGAGTTATTTTATTATTGTTTCAGAATTAACACTCGACGTTTCATATGTCTGGGAACAGTAACATGTTTATGCGTCGTATTGACATCTTTGTCAGTGAACTTCAGAATTAGAAAATTAACGTATAGAGCATGGTTGCCATTTGATTATTCGTCAACATTATTGTTTTATTTGATGTATGCTCATCAATTGATATGTTTAATTGCTGGAGGATTTTTAAATATTGGTTGCGATACTCTCATCTGTGGATTATTGGTTCACATTTGCTGTCAAATTGAGATATTGACTTATCGTTTGAAAAATATTGTATTTTATTCAAATGTACTTCGCGATTGTGTACATCAACATTATCATATTTTCAGGTAAATCTTATCATATTTTGCGAAATATTTTTTTTAATTATGATTTAATTTATCACGCGGTTTTTATTATAATATTTTATTAATTGAAAAAAATCGTTAAATTTTAGACTTGCGTTTATTGTAAATGCAAAATTTAGATTAACTATTGCTATTCAATTTATAACTAGTACGTTGGTGGTTTGCTTCAGTCTTTATCAATTAAGTACAGCAACAACAAAAGCCAAATATATTGAGATGACATTATATATATCTTGCATGTTAACAGAAATATTCTTCTATTGCTGGTATGGTAACGAATTAAAAATAAAGGTGTGATAATAGACACTTTTTGTAGGTGCATATATAATTGATATGAATATTGTCAAATCTCTTAAGAAAAAGTGTTTCAATATACTAATTAACTGTTCAATAACTGATAAAATATCAGTTACTGAACAGTTAATCAATATTGAAACACTTTTTCTTAAGAGATAATTCGGCAAATCTATTCATTATGATATTATATATTATTAGAGTATCTTAATGTCTAAGAAACATTAATAAATATCTTTTATTAAATGCTATGGAAATACATTTTACATATTTCAGTAGAGTCATCAAATGATCGATAATATTTTTGAAATTGAATGGCTAGCATTGGATGAAAATAGGAAGAAATCTCTAATGATAATAATGAGCCGAGCAATCGTACCTGTTCAGATTACCTGTGCTTATATTGTTCCTATGGATCTTAACTCCTTTATGAGTGTTAGTATGAATGTATTATTAAAACTAGTTTTGATAATAAAGTTTATTTTCTTTATTTTGCAGTTAAGTGAGGGTTTATAATTGATTCTTACGTTATTACAATAATCAATTAACAAATTTTTTAAATTTAAATTTAACTGACTAATATTAAATTTAACTGATTATATATTAAAATCATTTCACACACATCATCACACGATGCATATTAAATAAATTATTATTTAAAATAATCAAATAATATACAGGATGTTCAGTAATATCCGAATCACCTCTCATAAGATAGAGCGGACAAAACTGAATGAAAAAATTCTTATACCATTATGCAATTTTTGTAATAGTTAACGATATATTAATTTTTAAAACTATTGAACAGCATGACTTAAGTGTCAAATACAAGCGCGTGATGAGGTAGGATAATTGTAGGATGGCTCGGCACGCATATATTGTTTATTACGGCTATGTTCCGATATACACTGTATTGAAAATCTATAGTGCACGTAACGTATACTATAGATTTCAGTATTGACAGTGTATATCGGAACACAGCCTACAATTACTACAAACGGTGTTGTGAAAATTGTAAAATAATACAAGACTTTCGATTAAATTTTATCCATCCTATTTGCTCACGAAAGGTGATCCGATCATTATCAGGCATTCTGTATACCTAATATAAATAAATTCAGAAGCATATGTGTTTAATAGAGTTAAGGAATTGACGTCAAAATCTATAATACAGTTACTGATGCTGGATCTGTGAGATCAATTTAATTTATATTAACTAAAAGACACTATTTCACTTAATTCTAAGAAACCAAAACAATTTAATATAAAAAAGCATGAATATTAAACTTATTTTAATAACAATAATTTAAATTTACGGATTTAATATAAAGAATATAATTGAATAGATCGATCCATTAGTTTCACAAGGTTCATAATTAAAATTTAGTATATTTAATAATATTGAGGAAATTAGCTATAAATTTATTAAAAATATATTTAATTTAAAATTATACGTGTCTATATATTAATTCTAGTTACTTAAGACATCGTATTCCACATACAATTTACTTCAACAAATACGGGAATAACTGTATGAGAAGCTACTAGAGTTAATGTACTATTCATATCGAACGAGATAAAATCATGGAAGCGGCAGGAAGTAAAGAAAAATGATATACGCAATTAGTATCATAATTAGTATTTAACGTTTCTCCATTACATATATTGTTATAAAAAATAGATTACCTAAATATATAAGTTATTCTATTCCATATTCTTCTTATTATTTAATATAATGTATATATTATACTCTTTTTTGTTCTCTTCTCTATGACATACTTTGCTGCGGACAGCATAATTTTTAATTATTTTTTAATTAAATTATTAGTTAATTGAAAAATTTATTAAATTAAATAAACTATCTTTTATACAAATACGCATAAGAAATACTTTCTACACTATTGTATTTTTTATAATAATATTACTATTGTATTATTACTCATTAGTAATACTTTTTTACCTGTAAAATTGTATTTGTAGGATAAATAATGCAATTTTGACATTATGATTTTGTGAATGAAAGAACACTGTGTAAAGGAAGAGAAATTATAGTGCTACAATTATTCTAAAAGTATTATAGTAGGTATAGGAAGAAATATCTTAGATTTCATAGAAACTGGAATTATTTGAATATCGTAGAAGGGTGAAGATGTCATAGAAAGTGCATGCACCAATATCTCATGAAAATAGGTTATAATTATTTGTTTAATATTTGATTATTTTGTCTCGTATTTTTTCTGAAAAGCATTGTTGCATTTAAAGATATAATTAGGTTTGTTCGTATACGTAAATTTTGTTGTATATGTATACAAGTTGTCAGTTGAGTTATGAAAAAATTATTTCACGAAAGGAATACATTTCGCGAGGGATACGTTACAGAATAAATAATGAAGTTACCAAGTACGAAGGGTGGAAACGTATACAATGGATATCTATGGTTAAGAAATTCGATCCGCAAAGCTATAGACCATTGTCAGTTATCCTAAAGATTTTGTCATGTGTTATACTATGTGTTATATTCAGTGGTTATAATTGCTCTAAGTATTTTTTCTTTATATTAATAATTTAATTTGTCTCTCTTATGACTAATGTACAATCTACTTATGATTGTTAATCAAAGAGCTTTTCTAGATATTAACGTAACACACAAGTAACATTTTTGGAATACTAAAAATAAGAAAACTTCTATAACAATAGAAGCAATTTTGACAAAACTGCATAATATTTTAGAGAAGTATTTAATATTATTAATAATAATATACATTTAACACACAATTTACAGTAATTAATTACATGTACTGTGTACTTTGTAGAGCATACAAAAAAATAAGTTCTTTAAAAATGCGTATTCTTAAATTTACTTTTAAACTTTTAACGATATTTGGTTGTTGGCGACCCGATTCTTGGTTGTCGTTACATAAACGTATAGCATATTATGTATATACAAGTATAATAATTTTATTACTACATACCTTTATGCTATCGCAATTGATGGACTTAATATTAACCGTTGATAATGCCGATAATTTTTCGGATAATTTTTTTGTATTACTTGCTATGTTCATTTCTTGCTGTAAATTGTTAATTTTGCTAACGAATCGCAAAAACATTATTATGTTAATCAATATGCTGATGGAGAAACCATATAGACCGTCGAAATCAACTGAAATGGAGATTTTATATAAATTTGATAAAGACATAGAGTAAGTTTTAATAAACAATATTTTAACATTGTATTATTTCATTTGATATTATTAAAAATTATTGAAATATATTTTATGTTAATTTTTATATTAGAATTTAAAACCATTTTTTTTATTTTTTAAATAATTTTAATACGTTTAACACCTAATTTCTTATTGTGACTGGAAAATAGAACAAACATATCTAAAAATGATTAAAAGTAAATTTTTTAAGTTAAAAGAAATAACAATATATATATTAAAAAATTTTGAAAAATTATTATATATATTGTACTATTTGAGAAACACTTTATAATTATTTTAGAATTAATACTCGGCGCTTTGTATATCTGGGAGCTGTAACGATGTCATGTATAATCTTATCTTCTTTATCTATGAATTTAAAAAATAGAAAATTAACATATAGGGCATGGTTACCATTTGATTACTCATCAACGATACTGTTTTATTTGATGTATATATATCAACTGATAAGTTTGGCTACCGCAGCATTTATAAATGTTGGTTGTGACACTCTCATTTGTGGATTACTGGTTCATATTTGCTGTCAAATTGAAATCTTGATTTGTCGCTTGAAAAAAGTTATATTTTATTCTAATGTTCTCCGCGGTTGTGTATATCAACATTATCATATCATCAGGTTGAGTCTTATAATTTTATAAATTTTAGAAATTCTTATGTAATAGCTTTTAAATTATACTTCTTATTATAATACTGTTTTTATCTGATTTATTGCTTTAAAATATGTATATATTATTAATATGTCGTTACATAATCAAAATTAAATTTTAGACTTGCGTGTATTGTAAATACAAAATTTAGACTGATAATTATTATCCAATTTATAACAAGTACGTTGATAATATGCTTTAGCCTTTATCAAATAAGCAAAACAACTACAAAAGCCAAATATATTGAAATGATATTGTATATATCTTGCATGTTAACACAAATCTTCTTCTATTGTTGGTACGGAAATGAAATAAAAATAAAGGTATGGTAATAGACATTTAGTAGATGTGGTAAGTATAAATGCTTTAAAATAATATGTCAAATTTATTCAATCTATATTTAATAGTAAAATACTCATGGTATAATATTGTTAAAGTATTTCAATATTTAAGAGGTATATATCAGTAACTTAATTATCTTTTATTTCTTGAACAAAAATTACATCCATGGATGCATTTTACATATTTCAGTAGAGTCATCAAATAATTGATAACATTTTCGAAATGGAATGGCCAACACTGGATGAAAGTAAAAAGAAATCTCTAATAATAATAATGAGGCGGACAATTGTGCCTATTCAAATTACTTGTGCTTATATTATTCCTATGAATCTTGATTCCTTTATGGGTGTTAGTATAGATATTAGTGAAACTAATTTCGCCAAATTCTATTTTTAAGTATATTTAAATATGTTTTTGATTTAAGATATTTATAATATATGAGGAGCAGAATTTTAAAATGCATTTTATCCAAAATTTATAATTTTTAAAGACAAGAAAGAAAGTTACAAGAAAACTGCGTGCTTTACAGAAAATAACAATTTGCCATTCAGTAAGATATAAAATGTTCAAAATTGCTAAACAGTAGCTAAAAAAATGTTAAACAAATATATTTTGTTTGTCTCTAATTAAAGAACATAATATACTTTAAATGTCAAGATTTTTTTCAGCACATAAATTGATGGTGTAAAAATGCTTTCAGAACATCATTAAAGCTTAAAATATGAATCTCTTAACACTGAATACTATGTCATCTTTAACTTTAAAAATGAAATTTTAGACAAAATTCATTTTAGAACAATGCTGCTCATATATATTACTTTATTATACTACTAAAATAAACTAAAAATTTGAATTTAAGTAAATTTTAATTATTTTATTTTATTTAAATAATAAACTGAATTATGCACAAGAAATATAAATTTGGAATGACAAAAACAGATTCAACATCTTGTGTAATATAATAATATTATAATCTAATGCATCTAATATTATTAGCGAAATTAGTTGCAAATGTATTAATTACAGAATATATTTAAATCAAGATTAGGAGTGTTTATACACTAATTCTAGATACTCAAGACGTCGTATTCCACTTACAACTTACTTGAAAAAATACGGGTATAATTCTGTAAAAGATTGATGGCAAAAATATACTCATGAAATTAAATCTTAAAAGAGCGAGAAAAAAGGAAAAAGTATATATTTATACTGTTAGTATTTATAATTAGCATTTATTACGTTCAAATTATCTGACATAAAAATAATAAAGAAAAATTATCTGTGTTATCTTGTTGCACATTTTTCTTATTATTTTATATTTATTAACGTCTATTTTATATCTATTTTATATTTTGTACTTTCTTGCCTATTCTGTCTTTTATGACATATTTCACAAATGTAATATAATTTGAACATTTGCCTCTAACGGAAGTCAGAAATCATTGTGCCTGAAATCAATACGGAAATAGAATCGTACGGTATGGCAACGACTTAGCAACACGCTTAGTAGTCATAATAAATAAAATATTTTACTTGAGAAATGCAGATATAACTGAGTTACTTACATTAAAATTTATGATAAAATAGTTGGGACATTCATATTTTTCCGTTTCTTATGATATTTGTAACGAAATATAAAAACGTTATCTAAAAGGAGCATTATAATATAAACGTTGTATTTTTAGAGACTGTTATTATCGTACTTAACGGAACAATAAATATGTATTTATGGAATCAATGATTCAAGTCCGATATATTATGATAATAACATAATAGTAGGGACTATGGAATCTTTGAGAAAGAAAAGAACGTGGCACAAACGTTTTACGATTGTCAGTCGTTCAGAAAATGTCTTATTCGTTGTTTCTTAATATAGTTTAAAGATGCCATAGTTTTAGAAATATTGAAGTAAATAAAATTTTGTGCAAAATATTTTTTAACATCTCGCAAATAATTTTTTCTATATGATATTTGCAATTATTGTGCAAAAATTTAAGTGAAATTTAGATATAAGAAACCGACATAACGTGAAATAAAAGATGCGTGTCTTGCAATTAACCTTCAAGATTCTAACGATTGTTGGATGTTGGCGGCCACAATCATGCTCGTCATTTTACTTGCGTATAATATACGATGCATACACGGTTTTTATGATTATATTATTATATACTTTTTTGATATCGCAATTTTTGGATATTATCTGGAATGTTGACAATGCCGAAGATTTTACCGAAAATTTGTACGCCACGATGGCATCGGTTGTTTCGTGCTCTAAAATGCTCAGTTTATTAGTGAATCGAAAGAATATTAATA